CTACTGGCCGATGCTGGTGGTGCTGCTGCTGGCCATCACCACCTCCCAGGCGGTGGCCTACATCTTCCTGATGGCGGCCAACTGCGACATGATGATCAGCGCCATTCTGGGCATCACCACGTACACGCTGATGCTCCTTCTCAGCAACATCTACACCAATCTGCGCACCTCGCACTACCTCTACCAGCTACTGTCCAACTTGTCCATTCCGAGGTGGGCGATGCAGGTGCTGATGCTGCTGCAGTACGGCCACCGCTGCACTGACCGCCAGATTCAGCCCCTTCTCTACTGGCTGGGCGCCACCGAGGAGGACCTGCTCTGGAGCGTCCTCANGCAGTACGGCCACCGCTGCACTGACCGCCAGATTCAGCCCCTTCTCTACTGGCTGGGCGCCACCGAGGAGGACCTGCTCTGGAGCGTCCTCATGATGCTCTTCAACCTGCTCTTCTACCGAACACTGGCTCTGTGGATGCTTGTCTCGAAGGCGAACAGTGCCGGCAAGGGTCGTCGCCGCCAGTTGAAGAATTCTTCAAACTCATTGCAAAAAGAAGTTTAGGGTTTTACTTTGAGACATTTCACAGAACTGAACCTCTCCTTCTACTTAAACAAACTGTGAACAAAATCCTCAAAAAAGTAGATGAAAATGTACTTGACCACGACCATCGCCCAAAACGGCATCAACATGACCACCAGGCCTCCGACCCACTCGACAATCCATCTACGGGTGCCCAGCTGATACTGAGCCTGTTTATCGCCGCTTTCAGCTGCTATCTTCCTGATCAACTTTGGGTCTGCCTTCTTCAGATCCCACGCCCAGCCGATGGCGGCGAAAAAGTTGATAATGGCCGTCGCCGGGTTGAAGACGTCCATTGGACCGAATTCAGAGGCGGAGTAGTCATTTGGAAATACATGGTGGTAGTTGTGGAAGCCTATGCGAATAGAAACATTAATTGCAAAGTTCTATTTTTAAGCATAATGTTTCGTGAGCTCTACCTTCTCCCATGAGCATGTGTCGACATGAGGCCTCAACGGGGATCAGCTTCTCACTGTACGGTCGGTTGCCATAGGCATGTGCCCAGGAGTTAACCAGAAAGGTAATGTGCAGTGTGATGGTGTACCGTGCAATGACGCAGATCATAAAGGAGGCGTAGAAGGACTCGCCCCAAAAGTACATTGGCACAGCGACGGGAATGGCGAACCAGAAGATGGGCACCCAGACAAAGTAGTAGTACTTTCGCTGCAGTCTCACCAGTGGATCGGCGATCACATCAGAGAGATCAATCGTAGCGCCCTTTCGCCGCACTTCAGGGTGCTTGGAGAGCATGAGCCAGCCCTAGGAAAGTGAAAGAAATTTGGTTGCATTAGTTTGTTTCACTTTGTGAGCTATCTATCCACTATTTACCATATGGCTAAAGAAAAAGCCCCGATTGGAGTTGTGCGGATCGGCATCAGTCTCGGAGAATTTGTGGTGCACTCGGTGATCACGGCACCAGTCGTAAATGTCCTTTTGCAGGGAAATTGTCTGGCAAATGACAATCAACAGGCGAAAGGCAAAGTTGGCTTTAAAGGCTCGGTGGCAGTAGTACCTAGTTATGGAAAATGTGAAATAAGTCGATTGCTTAAAAAATCATAGTTTTGTACCTATGTGCCCCAACTTGAACTCCCAACACTGCAGCTAGAGTGAGAATGTATCCAAAGACGAGGGTGGATATCTTGGTGAGCACCAATGCCGGACCAAGGCCCAAAAAGAGAGTGTGCAGCAGCCAAATGTTGAAGACCTTTGACCAGAGAATGGGCGTTTTGAATGACTTGAAGTAGGGCACCGGTGTCTGGTCCTTGACTTTTGCACCGTCATCATCGGCCAAACTGTTGTTGTTAATTTCCGTTGCAAGTTTAGGCATTTTGTTTGGATATTTGAAAATTTAAAGTGCACTTAAATGTAATGCACGCTAATTTTGAATGCACAGCATCTTGATATCTTTTTATTTCAACTGTCACTATAAATGTCCTTCAACGACCTATCGAAGCTGTGCGTGAGGACAACAACAACAACAGCAACAAAACTATCTGCCATCTTACATATCTTGGCAATTAAATTAACATTTTAAAATTTTTTAGCTTTAAAAACACTCTTGATCTAATCTTGTTTTAAATTTTGAAAGGGGGTGAGCATTCATTTTCATAAGAATGCAGCTTAATGAGGTTTGCGTCACAAGATCCCGCGATAGTAGGGTCAGTGAAATTTTTTTACTAGAAACCGGAAAATGCAAATGATTTGACTGTTTTAGCAATTTATTGATATTTTATTTGCAAAAATCAATTAACATTTTCTAATGAAAGCACAATTTAAAACAAAACTAAAGATCTAGTCTACTTTCTTCTGTTTGTATGCCTGCTTGTAGAATCGGCTAAAGAAGATCAGATAAAAGATGACATTAAAGATGTAATTGTAGGTGAAGAAGATAGGGTAGCCGACATTGTTCAGCATAATGTACGTGATATGAAAGCCAAGGATGCCAAACTGAAAAATCTGCAGCTGTGTCAGGTGCCGTTTCCACCAGAGATATGGCCGAACAGCTGGGCCCAGCGCCGAGAGTGCGTAGTAACTGCAAACAAAAGGATGTTTGATGGTTAGAGTAAAAATTTTTGTCAAATTACCACCCAAATAAGCAATTACCTGTACATGAGCGTGTGGACGAGGCCGTTAGCGAGAGCAAAGGGTGCCGCAATGTCACAGGAGCCATTCATTCTGAAGCCCATCCAGCCGA